AATTTCTGAAGGTGTGCGTCTAGTGGGAATGATGCGTGGTGAGGAACAGGGCCGAACAGAATACGCCTAGGTTTTTAATTCTACTCCGGTTTTTAAGAACACTTTTGTTTCATGAACTGGCGAAAGTCGTGACCTGGTCGCATTGAACACATCCATCTGTGGTTTTCACGTTATCATGTCGCTTTCCGCTCTATTGCCATATTCTACTGACTCAGATCTACTTCACGTGAATGAGGCAGATTCCACATCCCATCCGGGTTTGAAAGGCCACACGGAAGTGTTAAACAATTCATCTGAGTCAAACGGTTGCGTGGCTGCTTTTTCGCTTCCTATCGCGAAGTGGTATAACCCCGACTCAAGAACGACAAGCTTTACTGATGGAAATTACTCTGCTCCTTGGCGGGATTCGCCAACCGTGGACGGAAGATCCAACAACGTGAGTGATATTCACACGGATCTGGATAACCGACCGAGTAGTTCGGCTGTCGAAGAAACCTCAAGCGATTCCGACGAAGTTGGTAAGTGTAAATGAAGCGCATATTTCTGATGAGGTCTGGGAAACCAAGAGTGGTTTGATGTATAATCGTTAAAAATAAAGGCTCGATGGAGTTTCACCCCGTATTCCAAAGAGTATTAAGATACTTCGGTGTGATGTGTACCACATAGGCTACGATTCTGTTGTGGAGTTGTTAAAGAAATTCCATTTGGTTGTGGACAGAATGAACGAAGTCGACAGGCATGCTCCTACAGGGTTCGCCTTGTTCTACAACCCTCAATCCAAAACTTGGAACGCAATTAGGTTGTAAGTGGATTTTGAATGCCAATGTGTGGGCACCACTGCTAGAACTATAGTCCTGATTGTATCCTCTGACGTGATCCTGTTTTTCATCAGCATAATTTGCAGCGTACAGTCAGCAGCACTTCTATTGATACGACTTACTTATGGTTAAATGACTACAAATTTGGGATTGAATATCACAAATCCCAACTTGATGAGCTCCCAGGACGATGAATCCGATAGTAGGCAGCTTGTCAAGTTTGACTTCGCTACTACTCTGCCTTTCTGTTGTGTTCAAACTATGCAAAAATTATGTTTACTGATTTGTTAATCTTTCTGAGTGATCCTACAGCCGATTTTCAGCCCTTCCTTAGATCACGCTTCGCTCGAACTCGGCAGATAAATCATTCCGAGAATGTTGACTAGGAAATCGGGAAACTGATGACAGATGAGAAGTGATCCTGTCATGAAATGTCACAAAAGGAACGAATTAGAAGAAGAAAGCATGTTGAGTTCAAAACTTTAAGTCAGCTCTTGTTCCTTGGGCTGTTGCACTGTGGACGAAATCTGAAGGTCTCATTTCCAACCGGCATCTGTATATATTAACTGGACCACAACAGACCGAAATATGCACAAGTGACTACTACGGAGTAGTCTACTAATTGTTTAGGACGTAGTTCAATTGTAGTTCAATTACTTTCATCTGAGGACTGGGAATTTCAGACTAACAGCCAGCCTGGTGATCAGAAATGAAAAAAAGTGGATGTTTCCTTTGAGGCTTTGGACTGGTAAAACCCTGTTTACTTTTTCTTGACGTAACATGGTACATAAAAGTTTGCTGAAAACACTTGGACAGTCTACCAACGGTTTCGCCCTTCTTATGATTCGTCAGATAGGCGCAGTCTTTGAGTTCCCATCTACCTTATGTTCTCTTTTTAAAACACCAAGTTGAGCGTAACTGACAAAATAGACTAGTCTGCAAATTACATTTGTGGTAGTAAGAAACCCAGCTAAGTGGATTGCACGATAAATATCTTGTCAGGTGAACATAAGAAGCCCTTTCACAACATATTTAATTGAAGAATGTTACAAACCATAGGTTCGGCTGGAATCCAACTGGAACTTTCTTGAAAATCAGATTGGTGCTAAAATGGGTGTGGTTTGCGATTTTCGAGAAATTCGAGAACCGTACCTATTTGATGTACCCGAAGAAGGTCAAACCCGGTTATTCTCTACCGGAGAGTTCCCGGCGACAATATGGGCAGGACTTCTTCAAGAAAATATACCGATATCTCAAATATCGTAGCAACTAAAATATCAGCTCATGCGGCGCATTCAGGTAAAAATCACAAACGAGAGATTGAGTTGAATCTTTCTTCGGCAATTTTATGCCCCTTAATGTGATGAATTCGTTGAGTTAGTGCTTGGTTTTGAAAAGCAAGGGAAGGAGAAAGTCATTCATATTAAAAGACCTATTGATTGCTCTCATTCAACCTTGACATTCAAACGGTTCATTGGATGGTTCCGTACCTAGTGCATATCGATTGTATTCAAACCTGGACACTGAAACTTGAAGGCAGATTGACATAGTTATTGATGTTGAAATGTGACTACGCATGTATTTAGTTTCTATTAACTTTGACATTTCTGAGTAAATGTTACCATTTTCTGTGTAGATATTATTCCTTTAGTTCCTCCTAGCCGGGTGAGGTAGTATTCCGATGGGTTTCCCAAGAAAACTCATCATTCTTCAGTTGATTGTGGTAATTTATCAATCGGAGAGTTTTCAGCAACCCTGCGCGTAGTTTTCTTTACGGTTTCCGTCAAGCGTATTTACGCCGGAATGGCGTTTCAGAATGGTTTACAATCCAAACCGCATTGGTCACCCTAAAAACCTATTACGAGTGACAGCCCTTCACCAAATTCGTACGCAAGCACAAACGTCTTGGATCCCATTGCTGTTGAATACTACTTCACCTGTTTTCACTTGCAATGACCTCCACATTCGAGATTTTCCAACCCCCTCTTTTTCACACCGATCCAAAACTGATGATTAATCGGTGCCCGAGCGAGACCGTCTTGTTGCAAAAGTCACACGATGAGCCCACCAATGGAGCTGATTCATTTCAACTAGTGATGCACTAGACAGAAGCGCAGTGACCCAGTGTGAACTTGAATGCACGCGTACAACGCGGGGGAGTGTTCGCACGAGTTCAGTTGGTGCAGCACTCACCAGGTAACCGAGATCGTGGGTTCAAGACACCTCCGAAGACTCTGACATTCCGACTGTATCGCGTGTGCTCAGGTCTACATTCAAAACCTCTCAGGACAGAACCCGGCACCAACGGATTCCAATCCTTCATGAGAATTCTCTAGTGCTCCCTCAGTGTCCAAAGTATTTCAGTATGGCCCGGTTTAAAGTAGGAAACTTTGTAGTATGGGTCACACAGTCGCTATCCACGCGTGTTACGGCTGCTTACCGAATGATTCTGGGTTACTTTAAAGTTCTCACTAAGTGGCAGTTTTAAAAAAGGAAACCAATTGTCCCAAAGAGAACAGCTTCCATTTTTCAGGCGTTTGGTGATGTACGTCTGAACATGATTAATCAGTGAATTTGTACGAAGTTTACTTCAACTGTAAAGAGGGAAAGATAGGTTTTCGAAGTGACAGTCAAGCAGATGCTTTGCAGAAGAATTTGTTGCTCCATGCTCCACGGCAAATCTACTTCATCACAGATTACAAATAGCATGCATCTGTCCGAAATCTGACTGCCTCATTGATAGAAGAGAGCCAAACAAAGTACCGACAGACCGTGGAGTCGCCTACGATACAGAACCGATTGGATCCGACAAACTATCACTGAAATACACTAGGTGTACCATTAGAATCATTTCTTTTCAATCGTTTGGGGCTGTGCTACTTGTCTCCCTAAAATTGCCATCGGGAAATTCAGTGACCTTCTTGTGGCTTTACATAAATTGTGGTAACTGCAGCCGTAGTCCGAAGAGAATTTTCTGGTCCTTCACATGAATTCCACGTGTCGCAGTGGCTTATTGTGGAACCACTTGCGTATTACGTCGCAATCCGGCAATCTCTTAGTGGTCTTTCCCGGCTGCGTTCCACCATTTCGAACTCTTTCACTACGTCACATTCACCCGGCCAAAAATATATTCTGTTACATGGATAACAAAATAGTACACACCCCTCGCCGTTTATTTCTTTCCCGAAACTCCAAACCCGTTTGGACAAAGTATTCCACAACGGAAAAGAGATCAGGGCATTTCAGATTGGTAATCAATAAAAGGCCCAGTTCGAATAATTTTGAATTAGTTTAGAGCACTTCATCCGTCTATACCGATTTCCCCAGTTGACCAAGACATACTTACTTGGTCTGCCTTACCCACAAGACAGTCTTTTAAGCTAATACAAGACCTCATGAAATAAGCGAACTACACTCATTTGCAAACAAATTTGGTTTTGCCAGGGACTCACCTGGAACCAGATGAATCTCTCGTTTATGATGTTCCTAAACAACTGAATGTGTTGCACCAAATGTGCAAGACCAAGTTTGTTTGCAAATAAGCATGGTTTGCTAATCCCTTGCTATTTGGGTTCAAGTAGAACATAAGGTTAACGGAGAATCAGGAACTGCGCCTACCTGATGAGCCCCAGCAAGGGTGAAACCTATAGTGAGCTGCCGAAGAGTTTTCAGCAACCTTATGAGTAGTGTATTACGTATTTCTCATGGAATAATTATAACTGAGAGTAGAATGCTTTCCTACCACCATCGCGACAGGTAGGCTGTGCCGTTGTGGTCCTCAGTGGGATCAATCACAATTCAACCATGTCGTTCAACTTATCACTCAGCACGAAACTGCAGTCCTCTCCCAGACAAGTTCCCTCCAGCGAAAACTAGTTATGCGCTTCCCTGTAAAATAGTCTTTGTTGAAGAGATTTCTGCATACATTGAAGCGCACCAGACCTCTCAAAGTAACGGCAGTCTCACATAGATCACCGTTTTCCCAACGGTATGAACTGCCGAGGACACATACATATAGAGTGAGTGATGCGGGCTTCTCACACCCCTTATTAGTTAACTCATTGGTCGAGTAGAATTCTGACACTGTTCACTTGCCAAGTATCAACGTACAGTCTATGAAACGCTTTGAAACGACAACCCAAAGAGGCTAGTCCGCTGATATCTCATCCGGAGTATACTCACTCTGCGTCTTCGTCCGTCATAAACCCGAGCGAGAGATGGGTCGAACTGCCGTTCTAGCATCATACCTGTGTAGCCGATGCTTCCTACACTGAAAATAACAGATTCGATCAACCGCTTACTCGCAGCATAGCTTAACAGCACCATACAGCCGGGATAGAGCTGTTCAATAGCACCAAACTGTGTGATTCAAACACAAGGTGAATTGCAGTCAAGACGCTTTGAGCTTTGTCTCTGCGGCATCCAGCAACGCCGTTTAGACATTTACCCAAATTAACTATCACTTCCACTTTGCCCGGTGTGTTCTAAAGAAACTTACTGACCTACCCAACCAAACGCACTGGCAACAGAGCATTCACACAACCTGTTGTTGCTAGGCCACTAGGGGCGGCAGAGTTCATCACTGGTAGCAGTCATTTTTCTTTGTTTACCATCCTCAGATGACTCTTTCTTTCAGCTGATTGGTGCAAATATATTGTTTAGTCTGCCACTCCCCAAACTGCCTCCTCATTGTTGAAAGGCATAACGTGACGGGTACTATTTGTTGACAGCCTCTATGTTTACCAAACCCTGGTAGATAGTTTATCTCAGATAATGGTAAGAAACTCGTTCACAGAACTTTAGCCGAGAGTGCCATTCTTTTCAGGAATCTATGAAATGAGTAAAAAAAAAAATAAAATATAAATTACTATTTCAAGAAAAGGTCATCATTTGCAAGAGTACATGTTTTGGACAGCAGAAAAAATACAGAGCGCAATGTATTCTGTACAAAGAACAAGTGATATCTGATTTGGTCGTATGAATAAATTATTGCTGATATTTCACCACCAGCCTACCCCTGCTTCGGATTTATCAGGTAGATTAAGTCCGTGACAATCAACCCTAGACTCGAACAGCAGGTGAGTTTATCTCTTGACCTCATGTAAACGTTCGAACCAGTATCCCAAAGTCCTGAAACTATGCCTAACGATGGGCTACAAACGGGATGAAACCGTAGTGAGCTGTCTGAGAACTCTGAACAACCAAGGCGTTTCACTAATGTCAGGCAAAAGATGCTCCACTGAAAAATTCTCGCAGGGAAAATTCAAGGTGGTCTGTATGCTGTGCACTGCACAAAGGAAGGTCACTGAAGACAATAGATCCCATAAAGCACTTCCAACATCCATATGATGCTAAAAGTGATCATGTTGGTTCGTTTACGGTGTTGTGGTGTGAGCATTTTATGCGTTGGGGGGGGGTCTGATAGAGAGGTGCCGCTCAAATATACTTAAGTGATCTACTCTTATTCATTGGTGTATAGTATTACACAAACGATTCACCAACGTCATTCTCATCAATTTATTTGTAATCAGTAGCTTTATTACTAGCTTCATCGTACCTAATAATCAATGCTGTTCAATGATAAATTATACGTAAAACTGGTTTGGGTTTATGCCTGTACTGGTTTTTTATTTATTTTTTAATTGAGTTAGAACGCACTGTGGTAGAACAATTTTAAAACCTTGTATAGTGGATTTTAATCGCTGTTCTAGTACGAGGCGGTAAATGATCCTGGATACCAAAAAAATGAATGCACTCAGCAGACAATGGTGTGGTTGGTGTACTAATAAACAAAGCCTATGGTTTTCAAACTTTAACACACCAAGATTTATTTGACCGAACCAAAGTTCGCACTCTCATGTCATAGACCAACGTCGTGTTTTTTGTGCTCACTGAAATGGTGAGTGTGACATTCCACTTACAGCCTCCTCCTTCCTATTGATTTTTTATGGTTCCTGAAGCCAAAAACTCCTACTCATAAAGTTTTCGTTGGACGCCATTGACGAGTGTTTAAAGTTCGAATGGATCACAAGACCTAATAGCAAGTATCTGCCACAGGATTCTGTCAAACATGGTCACTTAACTCTTGTAACAAGATAACCGAGCTTGCATAGGATCAANCCTTCTTTCTATTGATTTTTTATGGTTCCTGAAGCCAAAAACTCCTACTCACAAAGTTTTCGTTGGACGCCATTGACGAGTGTTTAAAGTTCAAATGGATCACAAGACCTAATAGCAAGTATCTGCCACAGGATTCTGTCAAACATGGTCACTTAACTCTTGTAACAAGATAACCGAGCTTGCATAGGATCAACAGTTTGCTTTTATCTGCTGGCAGCGTACTAAAAGCGGTCAGGTCATAATACAAACAGGGAAAAGATAAAGCGATGATCGGGAACATTCATTGAAGGGTCTGACCGATTCCATTAGTTTATCACGAAGGCAATTTAATGTTACTTTTGGGCGCATATACTCGGTCAATGCTGATTGTTCAGTATGGCCTCCTCAAACACTTGCTATTTGAGACTAACATCTTATGGTGGAAATTTGAATGTTTTTTTTCTGGTATTATCCTAGCGATCCGTGATCTCTCTATACTTTTCAATCGATGAGGCATGTTTCTGAGCTTTGGTATGCTTTGCCTTCATAAATCGATCATCAGCTGAAAGCGTACGAGAACTCCGCGTTCCGACGAATGTTCGCATAATCTTTGGTCTGTTCTGTTGATGTATGCCCCATCCCGGTTGATGTACAATCTGCTGACGGTTGCAGGAGTTGTGGAATTCGCCTTCACATCACTCTTGTCTAGACAGTCGTCTTCCTAGCCTGGAGAAATCACTCTGGTGAGTCCATACCGAAGACGGAATATTGTGCTCAAGTTTCGCTATTACTAGAGCTCATCAACATCAACAACATCTTTGGCCACGCCGCGGTTTGAACTCGGGACACCTACCGCGAGACAAGCATGTCACCATCAATCCATAAGCAGTTGGACGGTCAGGGTTAAACAGGAGGACGCGTTCACACTTGAGCTATGTGTTTGCTTCTCCCAGTGCGTGATTCCAGTCGTTGGGTGCATTAGCTGCTGAAGTGTTTGGGTAACCTTGTGTCGATGTTGGTAGTAGAATCTGCGGTGCGGATGAACAATTACGGCCTAATGTAGTCGTACATTTACATTCAACCAAAGACCTTGTACGTATAGTCCGATAAAAACATTTTTACTTTGGTTGTGAGAATTGTGTCCTGATGCGGCCTCAGTCCACTACGCATGGCACTAAACTCATCCGACAGGAGTTTTTGGCGGGGATACAATTACGCTTGACACGAGTGCGCAATGTAGACCCCTCTCATGACTTTGGAAACTATAGGTAATATTCAGCACACCGAATGTTTGGAAATACCACCCAAGCAATCGTCGATGAAGACATTCAAGGACGCCAAGTGGTTGCTACTGTTAGCCCAGAAAGACACCGGAATGCGAGTGGTGCATACGATTGTATATCTGATCGACACTGGTAGGGTACATGTTTAGGAGAATACCGCCTATGAACCATTCGTAGAGGGTAGTTCATTCTCAACCATCTTCCGAAGAAAACACATCTGCTATTACCGGACCAGGTGGGACACGCGTTGCTAAGCGGTGCTACTCCTGTGGAATCAAAATGGATATTTACCATATACAGAAGAAATAGTAATTCAGGCTAGTCTGGCAGAGTAATATGAGATATGGTCAGACCACATTGCTTGTCCGCGGTTTTGTAGATTGGTGCATCAGAGAATAAGATTATCCTGGCCATTCCACCCGCAAACTCAGCTGTCTTCAAACACCTTCAAAACACTCCACTTCATAATTTCCCAATCATCAGAAATTTGAAGGGTATTTGATGGATCTCGAAATAAAATGTCCAAGTAAACAAAAGGTGAGCAAATAGGTATTCCTGAGTGTGGCTTGGGGTTCGCAGTGACACCAACCGTTCATTCATTAAGAAGGCGTAAAGTTGAGGTGCAGGAGTTCAGCGGACAGTCGGTGTCATCGACTGCTCTAATAATTGGGCTCCCGTTAAAAGAACCGGGTTTCGAATCCCCCCGGTTTTGTATTCGCGTTCAGACGATTTCTGATTTGGTCTCATATTTCAAGTTGTCAGCTAGTTGTGGAATACCGGGTTTAGTTTCATATTTAAACGCCACAACAAGCCTTTGGAACATGGAAAGATGATTTGAGGCAGAGAAGTTTCGTTTGCCTCAAACTGTAGATAATGAGGATTAGACTGAACAGGTAAGAACACCAGACAATAAGCAAACTCAAGACGGGTTGAGATGAAGTCCAAATGAGGCCTTGCTCTGTCGTTCCCTTTTCTAACGGACCAAAAAAGCCATCCACCATTCGAAGTGCCGTTTCCTTGATGTAAACCGGTACCCATTCAGATTCTCTTTAAATCTATTTGCAGAGGGGAGATTTGTTAAACTAGGTAACGAATCTCTACAAAAGTCTCATTTACACACAGAACCAGGAGACTCATATGCATTCAGACGAAATTCCCGTTCACAATGGTCTGATCCTACTGAATATGCCGCCATGAGCCCTCTCATGTTCGAGATAACGCAATACCTTAGGTAAAACAAGCTACTCACAAGGTTGCTAAAAACCCTTCGACAGCCAACAACCGAATTCGACCTTCTTGGGGTTCATCAGGTAGGCACAGTCCTCAAGTTTTCATCAACTTACGTTCTACTTGAACCCAAATTGCACAGACTTCGACAAAAAAACTGGCACATAAATTTGGTTCTTAGAGGAGGCTTGAATGAATTTAGCTGAACTCCTTGTTTATACTTCTCATAGGCTGCGGAAGAGTTTTCATCGTTTTAATATTAATTCTGGTTCTCCGTGATAGCTTCAGCCGGCCCGGTGATCAACTTGTTGACCGTTGTTCACAAGATATGCTTTTACTGATCTGTGAATAAGTTTTATGGCTGCTTTTGCTAACTGGTGAGATGTGCATTCAGAAACGCGTTAAAACCATCTGCGGACCTAATGAGCCAACAATGAGTAAACAAATCGTTAAGCATACACAGAAACGGTCTGTTGAGGCAGTTATTTTAACAGAACAGCGATCAGTAGAAGGTCAGTGTTCAAAACACGCTCCAAAGTCCTAGTGAACCAGTAGGACAATACCTGACTGAGTGAATCACCTTCGTAAGGCAGCCGTAACCATACTAGCCTTCACGACATCCCATGAATAGTCCGT